TGTATGATTATGTGTTTTCTAAGTGCATCTGGTATTTTTTCATTGATTGCTGGCAGAACTTTATGGATCATAAGTCCTCTGTACACCTCTTTATTTGGTTATTTTAGGTACGGGTTTGGTCTCTAAAGTTCTTGCTACCCTATTTTTACTACTCTTTTGTGCAGGAACTTGATTTGTTAGAGGCCAAGTTCCAACTTTCCCATCCCAAATAACCTGCCCTTCAGGACCAAAGATATGCCTACCTACTGCACATAAGTGCATTAGTTTAAGAATGTGTGCCTTACTTTTAGTTGTCCTATGAGGCTCTCTTTGCCTCTTAGTCTTATACACTCTGAGTGATTGTTTGGACATTTCAAACCATTTCTCATCCACATGAACAGTACATGAGAAATCTTTAAACACGTGTGAGTGGGGAAGGGTTTCTGAAATTAACTGATTTAACACAAAAGCTAACCATTTCAGCTTGTTTTCCTCGATTAGGAAAGGCTTTTTAGCATTTATGTGACTTTGTAGTTGCCCTCCTTGTATGCACCTATGTAGTGTGGATTTGGGTACTTGTATAGCAGCAGACAAAGAACGTATGTTAGTTCTTCTGTGAAATGGAATGCCCTCAATCTGTTCCAAATTCAAACATGCCCTTTTTTCTGCCAACAACTCCTCTTATGTTGTTACTTGCATCTAACACTGATCCATCCATGAGCTGGTTACGACAATTATGCCAAAGAGAACTCATTGTCCTTCATGATTTCTCCAATTGTGTCGTGCTGAAGTTTCCCATTTGTTGTCTTGTGTAGAAAGTTGTCTAGGATAACTCGCCTTTCCACGTCATTCAAATTTATGTTGGTTTGTTTTATGGGAACGCTGACTTCTTGTTCTTGTTCTTCTTCTTGTTCTTGTTCTTCATGAAAAACTGAAGGCAGCATCTCTATTCATGTGGTCCATGGGAAGAATGGATGAGAGTTTTTTTTGGGCAGTACGTAGTATGGATGTACTCTTTAAGTAATGTTTACATTTGTGTAATTAAATGGAGGGAAATTTTCCCTCCAAGACAAGGATGTGATATATTGAAGTGTATATGGACAACTAATTTGGATAAACGAGAACAAAAACAACTAAATCCAGACGAAAGAAGCAATTGTTACCGTAATTAGTTTGCAAGAGTTGATTTAAGAAATTCGAAGCGCTTTCTGGTTAGAGCTAATTTTTCTTCTGCTTCGGTTGCCTTTTCTCGTACAGCAAGCACAACTTCCTCGGGTGCTCTTTCGATAAACTACAAAAAAATACTTTATTTAGGAACTTGACAAGGCACGAGAATGAAGTAAAAACTACCGTTGTATTTAATTGGAATTTATTCCAAAAAAAGGAAAGAAATAATATGATTTTCTTTAAAAGGGGCGGAAATATAATACACAGATGAATAAAAAGGAAAAATGTGAAGAATGAAGATGATTTAAAGTGAGAGGAGTACCATGGGTGAACTCAAACGAGCCTTGAGCGCATCGTATTCTGCTTGCATTTTGGTGAGTCGCTTAGAAAGGCGCTGAACTTCAGCAGAGATATCCACCATATCTGCTAGTGGAAGATATGCTTCTAAACCTTCACTGGCAACAATGTGGACACATTGATTTGCGTCTCCTAGAATTTAATTCATTCCATGCCGGGAACACAAAGGTGTACCGATTAATACTTAAGGTCAAAAGTTTAAAAAAAAAAAAAAGAAAAGAAAAATGTCTCCACAAACAGAGAGATTTTAAGCACGGTTGCAAACCTGGAGGACATTCCATGAAATTGATACTATGCAAATCCAGTTTAGAAAGAAGGGCTAAAACTTCCTTTTCGCTCTGCATTTACCGGAAACTGGCAGTTAACATCTACGTACTGTCTTCTTTCTCGCGAGTAAAATAAACCCAAAAGCAAAGAGACATTTTGGTGAATGTGCAAATTAATGGAAAACTTCAAGAATGTCATATTCGAGCACTGTTTTTTAATCAATCAAACAAGGCAGTGCAGAGCTGCAGTGGATTATTTGTGAGCTTTGAGGGAAGATATGTTAAACCAAGGAGTATTAAGTTAAGGATGGCTTACACTTATATACTGATTAATGTTTGGATTTGCAACAATGGATGCAGTTATGCGCTTTGCTGGCTCAACCGAGTATTCTGCCCGTGCATTTCTAATGGCTCTTGTCTGCAGTCACGAAAAGGATGACTGTAGCCTAGTGGCAGACTGTTGATAGGGGAGTATAAACTCCCAATCTTCCCAGAGGTAATGTAATGATAACAACAATAATAATGAATAGAGGAGCGTATAAGCTCACCAAAGACTGTATGTTTTCAAATTTTTTAATTGAATCAGCATTCCTTGGAAGTGAAACTTCTGGCCATGCAGAAATAATAAGAGCAGGTTCCTGTCTTCTGGGCAGTGCCTGCACTGACATCAAGACAATGCATAACAATGGAACTTAGAAGAATACAGGTCCTAAGTCCTAACTACTCCCACCGTCCCAAATAAAGAGTCCAAAATTAAGAGTCCAATTTGACCGGACATACTTACCAAAGAGAAATAATGACGGCGCAGACTTGCCAAAAAAGAAAATAAACGTTTATTTCAAAATGGATCGAAAAGTAAAGTGTGTTTATTTTGGGATGAAAGGAGTAGTACATTCGACAAATAATAGATGAATAACTTTTTGTTTAATATTAAATGGACCGAAACGCAAGACCAGCGTGGATGGCAAGATGATAATCTTGGAAATAATTTCAGTGTCCCCGGTGACAGAATTAAAGGCTCTAATTATTCACATCTCTACAAAATACAAGTAGCTAAAAACTCTGCACTGCTTAAAGAAAATGAAAGCTCTTTCATTCTCTCGTGTGCAGACCTTGAGCTGGAATGAAAACCTCCTGACCTTGGTAAAAATAATTAGAGTTGGCAAATTGATCGGCAAGGTCGGGTTCAGTCACTTCGGGTTCGGGTTACTTCGGGTTTGGGTTGACCCAATGGGTTATGACTTTGGCTTTAAAAAATTTAAATTCACATTAGCCCTTGCATTTTGTATTGAATAAATTTAAAATATTAAAAAACATGTATTAAATCTATTAGATTAATAAATTCTAAATTAATTTTTAGATACTCCGTATATAAATTAATATGAAAATCTAAAAAAATGCAAAAGTTTTAGAAAAAAGTAAGATATTTATGCAATATCAATAAAAATTTGTCCGAAAATATAAATTTATATACTAAAAACAAGTAGAAAAGTATATGATTTGGAAAAACTCTTACATTAGCGGGTCGGTCCGCTCGGGTTCGGGCCATTTTTAGTTGGTCATTTCGGGTTCGGTCATCAAAACCTTTGTTCAAAACCCAGTGTTTTCGGGTCGGGTTTCGGGTCAAAAACAGATCTGGTCTTTTTTGCCAGGTCTAGAAATAATCCATGCAAAACAAGCAATCATCCACGGAGTCCTAAGTTGAAAAGGAAAATTACCTGCCACAGCTCCTCAGTAACAAATGGCATAAAAGGATGAAGCATCTTCAATACATTCTCAAAAACATATATAAGCACTGCCTGTGCAACAGAAGAAATAGATCTATCTTCGGAGTGATAAAGACGAGCTTTGCTGGCTTCAATGTACCTGGTAAAAACAATAGAATAGTAGAATACTAGCCATGCAAGATAAGCAGATATAAATTACTCAATCCGTTCCATAAAAAAGTCTAGCTTCACAAAGTAGAACTAAATTTTAAAATACAAGTTGGAAATCACCATACATGACTATTTTTTAAATTATGTGTTTGTTTAACTATATTTAAAGCACAATCTTTGTTTGGGATACTTTTTTTAGATAAACCCATGAAATATAATGCAAATTACCTCTTTTTCTTAAACATGACATATTTTCTTTAAGACAAACAAGTTTCCAAACCAGACTTTTTTTCTTTGGGACAGAGGAAGTGATATATAACAGTATAACCTCATGTACACAAACAGTCTCTTACTTGGCATAGAGGTAAAGTCTGTGCAGCTCACCCAATCCCGACCCTACATCCAATTGAAACTTACTGGATCTATAAGATTTTAATTATATATATGTCCTTGCACAGAACTTTATGTATTACTAAAGCAACCACTTGAAAAATAATTCCCCAGCACCTCAATAAATCTACTCTGACCATACATATTACAAGTCATGACTTTGCTTTAATACTCATGTCCATTGCCAATGGAGCTAAAAGAATCATAATTGACAATGCTTTAGCTTCAGTAAATACTGGACTGAATCAAAATGACACATTAAACTTGTTTTGTTCCTTACTTTCTATGATGTTTTGGACTTTTGGGTAAGAAATGCAGCAAATGCAATGCATCAGGGGTTTAAAAAAGCAGTCTCATTTTGCAGAGGGTGAGGATCTGTACATCTTGATCCTGTAGACCCCAACCGGGTTGGGATTATACTGGGTTTTTGTGATTTTTGCTATAATACTAAGAAGTTTTCTTTGCCTATATCCCAAAATCAAAGAAATATTAAATATATCCAATATCCATCTGAAAAGAAAACAATTACTCTACAGTTGCACTACAAACTCCACTAACTTCTCTGTATTATCCACAAAAGAGATACACAATGTTAAAATCAAGATTATGATTATTTTAATTACAATACCAAATAAAGGCTTCAGCCTGACCATAATAACTTACTCCCTCCGTTTCGGAGTTTTTGTTCACTTTCAGTTTGGCACACACACCAAGATGGAAGGCAAAATGACAAGAGTACCCCTAAATTATGACGTAACATCCCAACAACCTGAATCCCTCCGTCGCAATCCTAGCCGGAAGTAAGAGTCTACCAAGTTAGCAATGCTCAGAAGTTTTACCACTTCCAAATGGCTAAACAGTGAACACTTTCTGAGGGGCATTAAGAAATGCAGTGGTCCCCCCCCCCTCCAAACACACTAAAGAGTCACATGGAAGGTTATCCATATTTCTTTTTCATTATGTCCCAAAACATTGTTTGTTATTGTAAAACACCAAAATTAAAATTCCCTACAATGCCATTATGATGAGAGAAAAGTTATTAAAACAATTTTTGAATGTCACAAAGAGATAGGGAGTAAAAACTTAGCTTCTAGATATTTTTGAGATTTTGTCCACACACTTATTGAGTAATTATTTTAAACCTTACCACAGTAAAGTAGTAAAGATACAAATGCTAAAACCCAAAGAGTATTTATCATCTAATGACAGAACATACCAATCAGCAAAAACAGCCCAGAAGAAATCATAAACTTCCCTGGCTATGTCTCCAAAGAAGAACTTCTCGTAACTTGAAGAGACTGCATCAATAAGCACGTGAAGTTTTGAAACCTGATATGCACACTAACCATTAGACAGATAAAGAGTGAAATCCTATGTGTTCATGGAATCATCATAAGTACTTATTTACTTACCACCCAGCATTCTGGTAGCGGAAGCTTCAGCATTGAATCCATATCATTGAGCTGTGACTGTGATACAGCAATCACAGCTCATTTTAATTAGGAACTTCATAAATTTTTCATAAAAAGAGGGACAATAGATAAACCTTGCATGCCAGCAAAGCCTTCCAGGCAGCTTCATCATCTTGACAAGGCAAATTCTGCAGTATAAACTTGCCAGCATTCCACAATTTGTTGGTGAATGCCTTGTTAGAAGTCAACCTCTCTGTAGATAAATTAAGATCCTAAAGCAAATTTAAATAAAAAACAAACCAGAGTCAGAGACTGATTAGTACATTATTCAGTCCCTAAAAACTTGAACTTATTAGCATTTGAGGACATAAAAGTTTTATGCCAACCTGACCAGCAGTTCCTAAAGAGAGTGTGAACCGTAAAGCATCTGTCCCATACTCCCTGATAGTGTCAATAGGATCAATTACATTACCCAACGTTTTGGACATTTTTCTCCCCTGAAGCAATGTTTGAAAGAATAAAAAAATGGTGTAAACACAGAAAACACAGAAAACATAGTTTTCTTTTAGTCTGTTTTGCAGTTTGTTCATGAACTTGATTGCCAATTTGCCACAAGATGCCATTACGATTATTAGTCTGCCTTTAATTAATGAACATATAGTATATGTAGCTCGACAAATACATTGTTTGTAAAGAAAATGTTCTTAACAAAAATTAAAAGGTATCAGCAAATGAAATACGAGTTTATGCATAAGTAGAGTCAACACCAGCATTTCGGACGAATAAAAAAACTCACTTGACTGTCACGAACAAGTCCATGAAGATAAACATTTGTAAATGGAACAGTGCCTGTAAGTTCTATTCCCATCATCACCATACGTGCCACCCAAAAGAACAATATATCATGCCTGTTTGAATGTTAGAGAGAATTTCAATGGTTAGTGAAACAATATACACAACCCCAATACAATCCCAACTCTGGTGGGATGAAAAAAGAAAAGGTAACAAGCATAAAAGTGCGAGTCATTCAATAAGATAACTTAATTATCATAAGAAGAATCCATTTTCAAAGACCGGTTGTCAAAGAAACCCAAGCAGTAGTAGCAGACTCTCCCTCAACAGAACCTAGGTAGGAAAAGTTTCATCCATGTCAGGAATTATACTCCCTCTGTCCATTTTTAATCTTCACACTTTCCTTTTTCATCCGTCCACAAATAAAGTTTTCATTTCCTTTTTTGGAAACCTTTTTATACCAAAAAGACCTAATTACCCCTGCCCATCCACCCTCTTTCCTTTCTCTTTCTTCTTCCTCTCGCCACATCTCAGCCACACCTCTTCTTTTTTTCTTTCTTTTTTTTCTCTTCTTCTTCTTTCATTTCTTTTATTCTCCGTTCTTTTCCTTTATTCTTCTTCTTTCATTCCTTTTTTCTCTCCCTTCTGATTTTGTCCCACCCACCCTTTTTTCATCTTTTTTTTCTTCTATTTTCTTCTTCCTCTGACCTTCCTATCTGGTAGCCTCTTTGTTCTTTTTTGCCTTCTTCTTTCCATCTTCTCCTCTCTTTTCTTCTCCATTCCCATCTGATTGAGTCCATCCAACCATTTTTTTCTTCCTCTTCTTCTTCTTCATCATCCCCCTTCAGATTTGATCCAGATCTGGGAAATCTAATTCGGATCTGTGAAGGATTTTAGGGGAAACGAAGGATCTTTTTCAAGTCTTCTTCATCTTCTTCCGACCTACTATGATTCTTCCACTAGTGGGAATAAGATGCTCGAATTGACTCGGAAAGGGTGCTCGCCAGAATTATGTCGCCGGAATTTCTCCCTGATTTTGGAATGATACAGTTGGGCAGCATATTTGTGCTAGGTTGTCCGACGAGATCCTGGGGGATTGTGGGAATGGGTGATAGGATGTTGGGGTAGAAAAATGGGGAGAGCATAATTGGAAAGTCAATGTAAAATTTAACATTCCTTAATCTCCGTGCCAGACCAAACCCTGAACATAAAAAATGGACGGAGGGAGTATGTATTATGGATAAACCCACCTACGTCAATTGCACCCCGCAAGTATAGTTGACTTTAAAGTCTAAAGTTTTGACCTCAAAGTCAACTAAAATTGCGGGGTGCAATTGACGTAGGTAAGGGATGAGTTGGGGTCATGACTAAGCAGGGAGGTTTACCGGGGGGGTTAGAAGGGGTGGGAATCATCAATTTTACGAATAGAGCATCGTGGGGGGACAGTGGCTTCCGTGGCCACTGAACCTAGCCGTTACTAAATAATACGGAGTAACAACAACAACAACAATAATAAGTTAATAACTACAACAACAACAGTAATAATAATAATGTGTCTGTATCTTAGATATAGTAGTAATATTGATTTTAATAATTATTATTATCATTATCATCATCATCATAACAGGAGGTACCCAGTTTCTATGATAGATGTAGGATGAAAGCGCTTGAAATCCTCTGCTGATTCATCAGGCCAACCCAGAGTGCTGAAGGGCCAAAGTGAGCTTAAACAAAAGCACAAATAAGTTTTTAGTTCGAGGAATTAGCATTAGCATACATGTGTGTGTACAAACATAAGAAAGGATAAAAATGGTGCAGAACAACAAATTACGAGGCCTGAAATTCTGAATTCCGTCGTGATCCAAGATAATCTGACTTTGTTTGTTTATTATTTATTTTTTAGATTTTGGGTTCAGCTTCATTTTATGCATGTTTCATCATAGAGGAAGGGGTAAGATGGTTGATAAAACCTTAGGAGAACTTTATGTATGGTACCCAATGGTTTGAGTGAAATACTATTTAGGTGATAATGCGATATTAGTCAAGTCTTGGATAAGACAAAGAAATTGATATTGTTTTTCAAACTTCTATAAGTATTTATTATGACCTGTCTGACAAAATGAGCTGAAAAGTTAGATGGAATATGAAAGCTGAAAGTCTCAATACAAGAAACAGAACTCTATAAGTTATGAATATAGTTTGTTAAATATAAGAGTGTTTGGTGCAAATGTAGAATTAGATGTTGAGTAAGCTAATGTATATAAGGAGACATGGTTGCAAGCGTGAGTCTATGAAGTTCTTATAGAGAGAGAAGTTTGAATGCAACAAGTACATTTAGACCCCCCCCCAACCCACACACACAACACATGAACATGATACATGGATACAAACAAGGATTCATCATTCCATCGTTCTGTGTACATCGCACTGACGTATTCCATCACATAAAAAAGGAATGTGGTTGCATCATGTAATACTAAAAAAGAAAGCAACTTTATTTTTCTAATTCTGATTTTAGAAAATATCAAAATCAAACCCAGTCACCCCAACAACAACTATATTACTCAAGTGCCTCATAGGCTCCCACTTATTGCGGGGTAAGGGGTTTGGATGTATGCAGCCTGACTCCTATGTTTAAAGCATAGAGTGGTTTCCAGATGAGTGAGATGACCATGACCCATAATGAGGCTCAAAATTTGCATTGACTAACCTCTACTTCACTACTAAAGAAGCTCATAGTTTAAAGAGCCATGTTGCTTTATTCCATCATATCCTAAAGGCAAAAAATAGTGAACCTTTGGCTCCATCAGAGATGATGGAAAAGAAGACCAGTCACCCCATGATTTTTTATTTATATTATTATTATTTATCACTATTATTATTATTATTACTATCACAATTACAACTCTGCCTATGTAACTATGTTACATAGCCGGCCCCAAGCCCGGATAATAGAGGGTTGTATTAGGTCCAACCAACGCAAAACTTTGTTGAATCTTCATGACATGGATCAAACACGACATTGTGCTAAAGCTAGGTCGTTGCCCAGAAGCAACGCACTGTATGGCTCAAGTACAGTGTCAAATGAGCTAGGGCCGCTGCATCAGTGTCTGGGTGTAGTGAAAAATAAGCAAGGGTTCCCACATGTAGGTGAACTGACGTGGGTAAATAAGCTGGTTCGCAAAGGTCAAGATAAGTTGTGGTTTGGGACATGGCGTGAACAATCTCACAGCAGGTATGATACATGATGGAGCATGGCACCGCTCGATCCATGTAGCTGACCCCACCTAGTGGAATAAGGCTTTGTTGTTGTTGTTGTTGTTGTTGTATTACTATCACAATTACAAAGTTTTATTATATGCATATACAGGCAATCATGGACTGTAAGGCGAGCTTTCAAATCCTTCAAAAGATTAATAGCATCAGTATTCATCAAAAAACAAAACCAACCTTGAAAACCAAGTGTCAAGGACATCAGGATCCTGATATATTTCCATGTCTTTTCCATACTTGTCTTGAGCTTTGACAAGGGCTTCCTCTGCAGTTCTAGCAACTATGTACTTTTCTTCAGGCAGTTCAGGGTCTTTACCAACAATATACCATACAGGTATACGGTGTCCCCACCATAGTTGACGGCTAATGCACCAATCCTTGATATTTGAGAGCCAGTGATTATATATCTACCAATATCAGAGAGCAGTAGATTGTAAGCGCAGAAAGAGGATACCTAACAACTGAAATGGGAAAATAACTAATTTGGACAAATAAACGAAGAAACAAGTGAAATGGTAGTTCATGCAACCAGAAAATGTCAACCTTTACTTGCAATCTTAAAAAATAACCATGTGTAGTATTCTATCCACGAGAACAGATCCAAATTTCTTGAAAAAATAGAAAACACCTTATATTTAAAATTTTAAATAAGTTTTCGCACTCAAGAAGATTGAGGAGCATATGGCTTCACTAGTGACCTCAAGAAAGTAATGAAAAATAAATATACAAAGAAGCAAAAAAAGGAACCAATAACAACAGGGCAGGGAGGGTAGAGATGAGGGAACTAAGTTGGAGTCTACAGATTTCAAACTGAGAAGTGGTTATACAATATGTTGTATGGACATTGAATTGGCCAGTGTTGGCCATTTACATGCAGATATTGACTTTAGTAGAGATGAGGGCACTAAGTTGGATGTGCAGACATACTAGTAGGGATTGTGTGTGTGCTTGTGTGTATTACATTCTGAGAGCGGCTCCTATGAAGAATATGCTGTGTAAATCGAAGTAAACGTGGCTCCGGCATGTTGAGAAGAGCATTGATGGCTCTTCAGGAGGTGTGAGATGTTAAAAGTTTGCAGAAGGGTAGCGGTACACCGAAGAAGAGTGCCTAAGGGGTGAGTAGACAGCATGTGTTTCTGCAACTCATAGAGGACGTGACCTTAAATAGGGGAGTCACGAGGTCGACTTTTAAGTCTTAGGGAAATCTATACTTGCAACTCAGGTGATAGGAAGGTGTTCGGTGTAAAGAGGTGCCCTTGTGGGGTTTATCTTATGTGCATTGTTACTCTATCTTTTTTCTTCTTTTCCTCATAGTCGTTATATCCTATTCTTCATTTTTAATATTTGATCTGTTTGTTTTCTTTGCTTGAGCCGGGGGTCTCTTGGAAACATCTCTACTTTCGAGTAGAAGCAAGGTCTGCATACAATCACCCCAGACCCTACTCTCGTGGGATCCAGCTAAGTGGTTGTTGTTGATATGTTTGTTTTCTTGAGCCAATGGTCTTATGGTAACGACTTCTCTACTTGTATACTCTATAGGTAGGGGTAAGGTTTGTGTTCACCTACCCTCTCCACACCACACTAAAGGGCCCATACGGGGTTGTATTACAACGGCTCAAAACAGAAATGGAAAAGTTCAAGGTTATCTTAATTCTTAGTGTATGTGTACTTTTTCAAATCTTCCTGGCATAATGGTCAAATCTCCTTTCTCGACTGCCTGAAGAGCCTTCTTGGCCAAAGATTCCATTGAAACAAACCATTGCTTGCTTACTAGAGGTTCTACGATCTGAAGAAAATATAATTTAAAGTAAAATGTCATCAGAGCATGAGAGATTAAATCTTAAACATAAATTACAAATCAGAGAGTAAACTCACTTCACCGCCGCGCTGGGATCTAGGAACTCGATGACTGTATACCTCTTTTTTTACTGCTAAACCTGAGTCTTCTAGATCTGACCAGAGCTTTTCCCGTGCCTCAAAGCGGTCAAGGCCACTTAAATTTACAGGTATAAAATCATAAGTTAAGCATAATTTGATATCATAAACACATCGGGAATTTGCTTGTGCACCAAAATAGGCATTTTCAAACATACCAATACAAGCCAGCAACTTCATTTAAGGTCCCATCTTTATTCATCACATTCAGTACAGGAAGACCAAGTTTGCGAGCAAGTAAGTAATCACTGTGATCATGTCCAGGACTTATCTTTAATACTCCAGTTCCAAAGTCTTTGTCAACATGCTGCCATTATACAAGGACCAGTATCTAATAAACCGTGTACTCGGTCCTATATTTTTTAAGAGCCTTTTTTGTTTTTTAAGTGCTCACTGGGAACATCTATGCTATATGTTTTTTATACACATCTCTAGCACAAAACTCACGATAACCACAGTCATTCCCTTTTAGTCTATTTTCACCTATTATCTAATACTCCTGTGTAACTCAAATAGTCAACTATTCATATTTGGTCTGTCCTAAAAAGATATTATACTTCCTTTATTGAATGTGCATTTATTTTTTCATTTTCAATTTTACACCTACTTAATCACCAACATTAAAATTAGATTCTACTACCTAGGAAACTACTAACTTTCTAAAAAGGTATCAATGGATACTACATATGAAATTAAACGTTAAAACTAACTTAACGATCATTTTTTAATCTGTGTGCAAAAAGATAGTGGATTATCTTTGTGATATGGAAGGAGTACGACTATCAAGGTTACTTTTTTCACTTTAACCAAAACTGATGTGTCAATCCTCGTAATTGAAACAAACAAGGAACCCTTACATTGTCACATATAATAGGAACATGCCGCCCAAAGGTCATAGGTACAATAGCCTCCATCCCAATATACTTGCAAAAGTTGGCAAACTTGCATTCAAAGTGCATGCTTGTTCACAGTAGTTACCATACCTGAGGATTTACTGCAACTGCGGTATCACCAAATAAAGTCTCGGGGCGTGTGGTGGCAATAGTCAAAAAGTCATTCCTGATGAAAAACAGAATACTTTGTTTAGTCCTTTATCAACATATGGTTTGAAAATGTAGAGTTGATGCATTGTCTCATGTCCAAATTAATGAAGTCCATGTGTATAATGCAAACTATTTAGTTAGTAGTTGTAAAATAAGTTTGATTTCCATTGCTTTGCCTTGTCTGAAAAAAGAACTGAGTTTTATCATTCCACCACCATCGCAGCCACCAACAGCAACAACAACAACAAACCCAGTAGAATCCCACAAAACATATGGTCTGGGGAATTTAATTACATCACCAAATTTCTAACGAAAACAGAAAGGTGGAAAAGAATGTCAAGTGGAAACTGCACAAGATTTGAGTCTACTACTTTTTTTATAATGTCAAAGCAGTGTTAGATATTCACTGTGATAATTAGATGCAAGCATAGAGCCAATGTGATGAACCAAACATTTTATCCAAATCATAGGCTTTAACTCAAGACAAAATTATAATCATGCTTGTTGGAGATATATTACCTACACCCTCCAGCAACATGATACTTGATGTAATATAGAATACCAGGTTCTTCAGAATGCTCCACTTCCTAAAATAAAAGAAACTGTTATAAAATAATAAAAGATTTCGAACATTGACAATACTTAGGAAAGTAATCATAATAGTTTATACCAGGTCAGAAACTGCCGTCTGTAAATTGGGTGACCAATTTACTATATAAGAGCCTGTATATATTTTCACAGTAAATTAGAATAGATAAAAAGTTATCTCCTCATAATACTTAAGCAATCAATTAAAGAAAAATATCTGGTTCAAGTATCTTTGACAAAGGCAGCAGCACTTTTTTAGTATACCAATTCTTGGAATAATTGAAACAGTTGATGGCTTACAAAAATAGAAATAAATGACCAATCACTAACTGAAGAAATCATCATCCATCATTTTTGCAAAGAGAACAGGTTTTTTGATATTTTTGTCAGGTGTAAAGTAATCTTACTTTGATCCCTAACAAATGGAGAATGGAAGGAAGTATTTTGGTCCCTATTTACAAGAATAAGGTGAATATTCTGAGTTGTAGAAACTACAGAGGGATCGAGCTCATGAGTCATATGAAGTTGTGGAAAAGAGTGGTGGAACGGAGGTTGAGACAAGAGACCTTCGGTGTCAGAGAACCAATTCAGTTTTAAGCCAGGAAGATCAACTACAGAGGCTATAGACTTGGTGGGGAGAATGATGGAGAGGTACCGAAGTGAGAAGAAAGATTTACACATGGCTCATATTGATCTCGAAAAGCATATGACAGGGTACCCAGAGAAGTTTTGTGGAAGTTTTTTTGAGAAAAAAGGAGTAGGGATTGCGTTTATTCGTACAATGAAGGACGCGTATGATAGTGCTACAACGAGCGTGAGATGTCAACAGGAGAATTTTCAATGGTGTAGGATTACACCAAGAGTCATCGTTAAGTCTATATCTTTTCACACTAGTATTGGACGTTCTTATCGAGCATATCCAAGAACTCGTACCATGGTGCATGCTTTTGCCGATGACATCATCCTTATAGGCAAATCACGAGAGGATTTGAAAGAGAAGTGGGATTCGTGGAGATAGGCTTTGGAGTTACATGGCTTGTGTATAAGTCGCACTAAAACAGAGTATATGGAGTGCAAGTTTGGCAACAGAAAGAGAAGTAGTAACATCGAAGTGAAAGCCGGAGAAAATACTATACCACAAGAGATTTAAATATCTTGGGTGTATCATTCAAGAGAATGGAGAAATAGAGGATGATATTAACCACAGGATTCAAGCCGGTTGGTCAAAATGACGGATCGCTTAGGGCTTTATATGTGACAAAAAAAAGTACCTTTAAAACTAAAGGGAAAAATTTTATTGTACTCCCTCCGTCCCACTGTGTTTGTCCACTTACCTTTTGGCACACCATCCAATGCACTTCTTTAATCCATTTTATCTTGTAATTTGTATATTAAAAAATTATACAAATTATATATTAATAATCTATATGTTAAGACGAATCAAACAAGATCACACATGACTATTTTTAGGCTTACATATTAAGAGAATTTGATGAGTCAAAGTGCTTAGATGAACAGTTCCAAAAGTCAAATGTGGACAAAGACAATGCGACGGAGGTAGTATTATGCTTAGACCAGCTATATTGTATGGAACAGAGTGAGTGTTGGGCAGTAAAGGGTGAACATGAACACAAGGTTGGTGTTGCAGAAATGAAGATGCTTCATTGATGAGCGTCATACGCGTATGGATAGAATAAGGAATGAAGATATGAGAGTTAAAGTTGGAGTGGCGCCTATTGTAGAAAAGATGGTGAAAACTCGTCTTAGGTGGTTTGAACATATGGAGAGAAGACCAATAGACCTGAGAGGGTTGATCAAATAGTGAATAGACATGTGGCTAGAGGAAGAGGTAGACCTAAGAAGACTTGGCAAGAAATGGTCGGGGGGACCTTTGCATGAGTGATCTCTTAGCAGATATGATACATAGGGCGCAATTGCATCGTTTAATCAATGTAGTCAACCCCACCTAATTAGGCTTTGTTGATGTTGTCAAGTAAGCATATTGTATTCAATAAAACATTTGGCTTAGATGTTACATTGGAATGAACTGACAAATATAAGTGGTTTTAAGGCACAATGAGAGAGGGGGAGAGAGGGCAGAAAGATTATGGCTACCTTGATATATTAGCCCTTTCTCATAAAGCCTCACAAAGGCCTCTATTACAGCTTCTGTAATAATCAAATTGGCGAATTCAGAAATGTATCACCACACACACACACACACACATTATTTCAAAAGACACGGGCTCTGAAAAAGAATCGCAACTAACAATAACCCATAGAAAGTAATCTTACGATTCAGCTGCTTATCAAGTGTAAATCGCTCTCTGCTCCAATCACAAGAAGCACCAAGTCTCTTAATCTGATTTGCAATGGTTCCACCATACCTTAAAATCATAATAAGCAAAAGTTATAATTATTAAGTAGGGAAACAGCAAATTATAGATGAATAGGAGTTGATGCAAGAAAACACAATGCATCATATTTCTAATTCCGTCTGGTATGAATAATGATTGCCTAAAAATGAGGATACCAATAGGCCACTTCGGATTATTTCAGAAAATTGTAAATTTTATGTAATAGTGAGAGTATGTCACATCAAGTTGATTCAAGTAATTTGGAGAGAGAGAGAATGAAGAGATATACTTCTCTTTCCACTCCCATACATGTTTGATAAATTCATCTCTGTTCATTTCTGTCCTCTTTATTCCTTCAGTGGCCAGCATTCTTTCCACAACTAACTATGAACAAATAGATAAATGCACAATGTTAGCAATCAGTCACGATGTCAATTGTTCTCCACTATATGGAGATATAAGTGGGTAACTATAGCATTAAGTTCTAGAAAACCTGAGTCGCGATACCAGCATGATCAGTCCCAGGAAGCCAAAGTGTGGGCCGTCCTTTCATTCGGTTGTATCGTACCATAATATCCTAACCGAATAATAATCAAATGAATATAAAAGTTAAACATCATAAATCCTAAGATAACGAATAAGCTTAAACACTTAAGTGTTCCTAAAACAGATCAAAATGTTTTCCGAAAGGCAACTTAGGAAAAGGAATCTTCAAAGGTGAGAGTATACTAAACTTTTCTGGCACAAACATGATCTGGATGATTGCAGATTAAGTTACAAAATTAATCTTGTAAAGGAACATAACTTTAAAAAATATCAACTCATCATTGTTGCATCATATTTTCATAAGGTGAGAAAAATGTGAGATTATGACATTGGCAAAAGTCATCACATTATTCCTCCCCAAGAAGGTTGGAGCTTGAAAGGCATCTGACGCAAAACCTTGCCGCAATTCTATTTTGCATGATATAGATTTAACTAAAGTAAATGACACCATATATTCTGACATTCTGTTTCATACTGTCACCTGCCCCAACTAGTAATGATTAAGGTGTTGATAATAATTTATCATTCCTAGGCCCTAGCAGTATAAGAGTCATAGAGATATCAGTGTTTCTGGTTTCCTTATCATATGCCCCTAAATATAGAACACCCTTGTTTAAATATAGAGCGCCCCTTATCATAAACACCGTACAGACCATATTAGCATTGTTGAAATCAATGAAAGATTAGTTTCAAGGATAGTTTGTTACTTTACTCGCGTTCCTTAAATATGATGTATTTTGGAAAAAAGGATAGCAAAATCCAGATGGATGGAGTAATTACTAGCCCAGCATGTAGGCATATAGGATACATCTTAGTACTAACAACATATCCAAGAGATATGATAAGAGTGCAATAATCAATAGAAAGTGCATACATTGACACATAAAAAGAAAACAAAAAAAGATGTAAATAATATTGTGTTGAATAAAAATCAAACAAGCATAGATGCATCAGCTGAGATATATAATGCATAATGGGTATGTTTTGTTTTCAGGAATCATATAATTCTAACCTCTAGAGTAACAAACATTGCATGTCCCATGTGCAATGAGCCAGTAACATTCGGTGGTGGCATTGAAATCACAAAAGGATCATTACCTCTGTCAAAGCTTGGTTTAAAATACCCTTGAGATTCCCACCTATTATTTTTCAAAAATTTTGGTGTGTCAATGTGTGACAAATATAAATGTCCATAACTCCATATACATGCATCCGTGTGTGTTTTAAAAAAGAGATCATATGATAACAGGTGAAGTACCGTGCTGCCACTGACGCTTAAACAAACCTACACCCATGGCCTTTAGGTTCAACAGAGGCGACCATGTCATTACTCATTACTCTCTGTTAAGACCGAATTACTCATGCCCTGAGGTTTGATGAACCTATTTTCATGTCCCTGAAGTATGAAAAAACCTATTTTCATGTCCCTGAAGAATGAGAAAACCTACTTTCATTCGCCTAGTGTTCATCGTTCAACATAACCTGGAATGTGTTTGTCATTACTATGTTAAATGCATGAACAGTCAAGTACCACACTTCAAAAATACATGAACCTTCATCTATAAAAAATGCATATTTTAAAATGTTTGTTTAAATTGATACTCCGTGTGTGTGTGTCTATATACACATACATACATACACACATACATACATATATATGTATGTATATATATACACACACATAGACACATATATACATAAATGAATGAACATTCTATGTATGTATGTACAAAGATACAAAATTTTGTTTCCAATCGGGGTTTTGGGGAGGGGGTGGGGGCAGAGAGGATTTAGGGTGGGTAAGGGGGTAGGAACCATCAATTTTTAGAGCAGACCACCGTAGGTGTTGTCATATTATGACATACATACATACATACATACATACATACATACATACATACATACATACATACATACATACATACATACATACATACATACATACATACAGACATACATACATACATACATACATACATACATGTGTGTGTGTGCGCGCGCGCGCTCGTGTGCACAAGCACGCACTTCAATATATTAAATTATGTTTTAAAAGTCAGAATTTCCTAAATTTCGAGCTTAATCCAACCACCCTAATCTTGAAAATCCATCAAAATATTCTAAAATATTATTGTATTTGTAAGAATTTGTGGGTGATTTTGAGTGGAAATAAATTACTCTAAGTAATTAAAAATTAGAAAAGATCATTGCCTAGAAACCCGTTATCAAAAAATGAGATGTGAGACACAAAATTGCTTTGTTTATAAGTGTCAATTTTACTAAACTAGCTTCAGGCAACATCAACAAAGCTTCAAACACACACACACACACACCAATCACCACAAGAGTAAAGAGCATAAATGCAATTGAAGAAAAATATCACACAATTAGAAAATAAAAGAAATAACAATAAAAGTATAGAACAATTGTCTCAAAAGACCCCAAGAGCCCTGATGGAAACTCTTCGGCAATTTCAAGGAAAATGTGAAGATAAATTAGGGGTGAGGGGATACTTCATGTGTACACTTTGGCCACTTCGGCAAACCACGTGCTGTATTCCTTATTTGGAAAGATGAAAACAGAAAAAGAAAATGTGAGAATAAATTAGAACTGAGGTGGTACTTCATTTGTATTCTTCGGTCACTTTTTGTTACTCTTATCAATTTATATAAAACAGGAAGCACTGAGCAAATGTTGATGGGTTTCGTGGAAGCTTTTTGAATGAGATGAAATGACAAACAATGCTCTCGGATGTAAGTTAGTCACTAACGCCTAACCTCTCTTGATTTACCACAAATAAGGCTTGTTCCAAAGATTCATAAACAATCAACTGAAGACAATCTAAATCTTGTTTTAAAACAGTGAAAATTGCAAAAAAAAATAAACGCCAGTATGTATATGTACCCAACAAGGATTAGCTTTTCTTGTTTCTAAAAATACATTTTCTAAATATTCATTCCTACAAAAAAAGGAAACAGAAGATTAATATCATTCTACTGAGATCCAAAAAAAGAAAAAAAACAAACATGGTTCAATAAATCAGCCGTACCATTTATAGATGCGCTCCTCATTACTAAAATCAAATGACTTCACAATTTCTGGCGAAGTAAAGACATCAAATTTTGTTGCAGAAGCTGTAATGAATCAGATATGAGTTCAATATCAAGTTACCTATTCCAAAGCACAATATGTGTTCGATTTATTTCCCAAAAGAACATAGATGAGATATGCCGAAAACAAACACGGCCTAATCAGAGTGTGTTCGTTCTAGTGAAGAAAAATACTTTTGACAACGTAAATTGATAATATTAGCCGGATTCCAGGAATAAAACGGAAAAAAGGGCAAAAAAAGAACACCCAGGGCACTCACTGACAAACAATCTGTAAGCTCTAATACGATTGCCGGAAAGTAATGCGGAAACGCGACGCTGTCTGGAGCAGAGAAGAGGATTAAACCCACGGCGGAAGCGGGAGCAAGAAGAGGGTGATATCGATAATACGGCCGCCATGAGTGGTAGATGGCGCACCAAAGCAGCAAAGAAATTAGGTTTACCGTTGTGGGTTGACCCGTCTGGCGGGTGTGTTGCGTAAATGTTACTCCGTATGTCTTTATAGATTTCAACAAAAAAAAATTTACGGCGTGATTTATACTCCGTATTTATTTGTTTGTTGTTGTTTCTTATGGAGTATCTAATACTCCCTCCGTCCCAAATTATTTGCCACATTTGTATTCCCGAGGCAAAATATCAGGTTTTTTCAATTCATTTTATTTACATATTGGTATAAAAATAAAAAATAAAATTTACATTTAAAAAAACTACATAAAAAGTTCTTCGAAATAAGAGGTGTCAAGAATATTTTATTTTATCAAATAACCAATGAAAACGTCGAAATAAACAAAAGTTCCCGCGACTGCTGAAAAAGCAAATGTTGTGAATATTTAGGGACGGAGGGAGTAGAATAAATTTGTCTTTTCATACGGAGTATTTTGTTTTATAAAATTTTTTATGTAAATTTAAAATATTTAATTTATTACGTTTAAATCAATTTGTAAATAGAATAATTTTAATTATATAAACTTTTATATTGCATAGTAATTAGGAAAAATTATTTTAAATAATCCCACCTTTTCGTGGTCTTTAAAAAATAATCCCATTTTTCACTCTCAGCGAAAATAATCACACCTTTGCGCATGTCTGCGAGTTTTGCGTCGCCGTTAAATAATTAACGGTCACTTAACGGGATTTTTGAAAAATACCTAATTTTATTTTTTTTGGAAAATAATACCAAATTTAAGTGTTTTTAGAGTGAAACTAATAGTTTTTTTTAAATAATCGATAATCTGGTAACAATTAGGAACTAAATTATTCTACACAATAGAGCTAATTTATTTACTCCATAAACTACATTTTTTTGTAAGTTGCATTTATTTTTCTTGAGCTGCACTTCGAATGTTTTTTTGATGCTATGTTATTATTATTTCTTTTAAAAATGGCACTACGAAAGTTATGAATATTTTTCGATAGTTCTATATAAATATGTTTTGTGAAACAACATTGCAATAGTTGTGAAAATAACACAACAATTCTTTCTCTGAAATGAAATTTTTATTTTTATAACTCACTACATTTTCTGATGAATTGCATTTTTTTCATGAACACTCCGAAATATTTATTGATATTTGATAATCTTATATTTCCTATATTAATTTTTCTAAAATGGAACTACCCAATTTGTGACTTTTTTATAATTCAATAAAAAAAAATTCCAAAATAGTAATTCAAAAGTTGTAAACATGGCACAATATTTTTTTCTCCGAAATGGCACTAATAAAAATTATAAATCACTACAATTTTTTGGTATTGCAATTTTTTTCTTGATCGATATTCTGAATTATCTTTGATAATTCAATATTTTATTTTCCCAAAATTGAAAACAAAATTTGTTAATTGTTAGTCTAACAAGAGTGTACTGTTATATTTTTTAAAATATTAATTTTAAAATTAAAAAAAATAAAAAGTAAATTTGCCTAAAATAATCTCAACTTTCATTTATTTGCGAAAAACAGGCACTTTCTAAAACTTCCGTTAAGTGGCCGTTAGTTTTTAAACGGCAACTCAAAACTCGCACACATGCGGAAATGTGGGATTATTTCTGGTGACAGTGAAAAGTGAGATTATTTTTAAAACAACGCGAAAAAGTGGGATTATTTGAGATAATTTTTCCTAGTAATTATAACTTTTCAGATAAATTTAAAAAATGAATAAATGTAAACATAAAATAAGTCAATATTTATTTATTTTTTAATGTCTCAAAAAAATTATAATAGTCACTTAATTTTTTATCTCATGGGGTATTGACATGTGACATGCCACATGTGCATCCACACATGCATTCATTAATGAGATGGATGAATTTCATTAGTCCACTTAATTTTATCAACAGATCTTTTAACACATTTTATTAAATTACATTAAATAAATATTACTCCGTATATTTTAGTATTAAAAAACATTATTTAATTATACTTTGTATAAAAAATGTCATTTTTCTAACGATTTTATAAACATATATTTCATTAGAAGAAAACTCACACTCAGACCAAGTGATCATTAATATGTAATGACATGAACTTCGCTCTTGATTTGAGTTGCAATAGGATTACCCCCACATATTTTGGATAAAGGGCATGTTTGGGTATACTGTTAGAGATTAGCGTTAGCGTCTTAGATAAATTTTTAACGGTGCAGATTACTTTGAAAACGTAAACGCTAAACGCTGCTCGTAGATAACCTTTCTAAAACGCTAACGCTAATAGTTATCGTTATTCCCAAACAGGTCCGAAAAGCTCATCCAGATTCTAGGGGCATTTCATTCACTCTTTGTGCTTCCGAAGTTATTAGAAAAGAGTTAGGGGCTGTTTGGCAACTTCTGAATGGGTAAGTGCTGAACCAGTAAGAGGTCTGAACCATTAAGTGCTGAACCAGTAAGAGGTCTGAACCATTAAGAGTTAGTATATTGCTTAACTATTCAGAGGCAAATGTCTGATCAATTCAGATAAGAGGTCTTAACCATTCAGACTCTGTATAATACTTAACCATTCAGAAGCAAATCTCTTAACCATTCAGACATCTGAACCATTAAGAGGCTGAAACAAACAGTCTGAACCATTAAGTGCTGAACCATTCAGACATCTGAACCATTAAGAGGCTGAAACAAACAGCCCCTTAATCTTTTCATATTAAGGAAAGATTTCGTTACTAGTCTTGCAAAATCTTAAGCTTGATTCTTGCACGCACGTCTTTATCATTTTTATTTGTTTTCCTTATTATGTAAGTATTTTCTTTATACTGCTCTTTCCATGTAAAGAGAGTTTGGTATATATATGTGGTGCTATGTATGATTAAAGATACAGTTTTCCCATCTACAAAATTCAATATTTCTCCCGTTTCTATAAACACTTTCTATTTTGACTAATGAACAAAATAAAAAGTATGTATTTGTGGTTGACTTTTCAATTTTATTCTTGGTGTAATGTGTAAAAATAAAATGTGAAAGATAAATTATTAGTGAAAAAGTATGATGCGGTATATAGAACTTCTCCCCTGGCTTGAGTGGTAGCAAGCCCACTCCCCAGGAGTCATGGGGAAGTTCACCCAGGTTCGAGCCCCAGCGAAGGCAGCAGCATTGGCTCTTTGTGCGTCATTAGTAATTAGCTTGAGAATAGTATGAACAGATACTACTTTGTAATAGAATCAATAGCATTCAAAAAAAAATGATGCGGTATATATGATAAAAATAATGGGTAAAAGTAAATTTTTAATAGAAAGTAGAGGTATCTCAGGGAAAGAAAAAAAGGAAAGAGAAAATATTTTAGGAAACGGATAGAATAGAAGTTAAGAAAGTATGTAGTATGAACTAATACGGAGTATTAAATTGTAATGAAATTAGTATTTCTCAAAAAAAAAAGTAAAAAAATATGTAGTGGCAAGGAAGTCATTCCAATATTCTCCACATCCAGTATTCGAACCTAATACATGCGTTTAAAAAATTGAGATTAGTTTAAATAGATACAACATTTTACTAAAAACTATTACTTCATGCTTAAAAAAATAGTGTCATAAATTTTCATTCTTCAAAAAGTCAAAACAAATTTTAAGAGTGCACTCTCACTGTTAAAAGTATCCCACATCGGAAAAGTGTGAGGAAACTAATTGGTATATAAGCTCTTGAATTGAACTAACTAATAGATTGGATTCAATCTTTTAATGTGGTTCAGCCTAAGTGTCTTATTGCCCAATCCAGTTATCCATACCCCATCCTAAATTCTATCATGGTATCAGAGCATGTCCGGTCCGGGTTTGATTGTTCCTGGTTGTTTGGATGTGGGTTTAGCAAAAATGAGCTACCCGTATGTGGTTTGGGCTGAGTTGGCTAAAAAGAGATTGAGATGCAACCGCCAGTTGTGTGGGCTAGCTATAAGAGATTGAGATGTTAGACTCGTTTGTCCAAGTGCTAACTAGGCCAGGCTAGTTACCACTTGCGGGGGGGTGTTGGAGTTCCCACATCGGAAAATAAAGATGAGTATCACTTGCATATATTGAAGGGTGAAGCTCTACCTATCAACTTAAGCTTTTGGGTTAGAATTGTGGATCCCGACTTTATGTGCAAGTAGTTATTTTTACCCGACATTCTATCCGTTGTTCTCGGCCCGCCGGAACTTTAACACTCACTTTTTCATTCATACGAAGGGAGTACTTCATTTATTCTAACTTTGTTAGTAAATGTATTGGATTTTGGGTATTAATGGGTTCATTGTTATGGTGCACTTAATTAGACCAATAGATATTATAAATAGTAAATTCATATTTAATCAAATTAGGCTTGAATATCATAAAATTTTATAAAATTAGTAATTATTTTTATGCTGATATTTTACCAACAATATCGCTTAAAAGAATCTAGTTTTGGTTCACATTTTCCAATGGCACATGTTTTTTATCCAAGTTATTTAAACACACAAGCAAAATTTAAAGTGATAAAAAAATGCACACAGTTTAAGTTACTCCGTAATATATATGGAGTATAGTACTATATAGTTTGACTATGTATCATAACAAATGATGAAAAAAATGTAGAGAGTAGGAAGGAAAAGTAAACTTGAATCAATCTTTATCGGAAGAAGTAATTTCACTCTAATAGGTTTTTTTATTACCTACCTTCTCTCTTTAGATGTTTAGAAAAAGTAATTTTCCACTTACTTTTTGTTTGTTGAGCATTTAAATTTTGTTTCTTATCAAAATAAATTTTTATTAAATATACTTTTTTCTTACTGTTAAAAATATTTTCTGAATGTTGTGAGCCTCAAATGAGTAAAATTTGTCTAGGGAAAAAAGATTAATCCTTCCCTCTTAGAGAATATATGTTCATTTTTTATTTTTTACATTTAACCAAAAATAATCTTTGACTTCTAATCAAATAAAAAGTATACAATATATTAATGAGATAAAATAATTTTTATATTAATATCTAATATCAATTTTTTATTAATACTCCGTAATTAATTTTATTAATTTTGATTACAAAAAATCAAATTAGATGAGGACGTTTTTTTAAAGTCTATCCAATGCCTTTAGGGAGATAAGGAGGCAACTTGGTGGGACGAGTATGGATTGGGTCCCAAAATACGGGGTAAGACTTGACAAATGGAAGTTGTAAAAAAAGTGACAAATGGGACAAGTATGGATTGGGTCCCAAAATACGGAGTACCAATAAAGATGTGCGTGACTGATGAGGGGTCCGGACGGACCGCGGAGATTAATGTAAAATTGTACAAAACCGATTCGGTGCACGAAACAAAGTTAGAAAATGTATTTGTCAATTTCTTAAATACTCCAACGCATTTTTATTCGTATGATTACACGTGTATTGATTTTTTTCTTGACAATATGAGCTTTTCACATGGACTGTTTGTACTTTGTACGCCAAAGTTTGTGAATTTACCTTGTACCGGACTATGCGGCACTTCAAGTGTGACCCTACTTAAGTTCACACTATTCACCCTACACCCTACTTATTGTTGTCTCTAAAGATGTTTTCTTAGAGTATTTATTAAAAAATCACTTTTATCCTTTATTTTTTAAAATCTTACTTATCATATCATATTTTTTTACTAATAATTTATACATCAGATCTTACTTTTACCATCACATAAAAAGTATTTTTGGAAAGTCAACATAAAAATATCACTCTCTAAATTTCTCAAAAAGTCAATAAGGGAAATTCTTTCAAGGACGGAGGAAGTATGTCGAATCATTAACATGTCTCCGATACCACATGTTGGGATCATGAATATCTTCAGTTTATTCCAGCATTAATGTGATACTGTCTATTCTAAACATTAATATCATATTCTTCTAAGTCAAATTTTTACGAATTTATTTTTGACACCTCCAAAAGCCTCATATTAATGGAGTCGGATAGCCATAAATGTTTAGGTTAATTTATTCTTGCCCAGCCGATGTGGGAGGTGGTTTGCATCACAACACTTCATGGTTATATTTTTCTTTTTCTATAAGAATATTTTTTGTTTTTTTTTTGCATTTCTTCTTTATATTCGTTAGTTTTTAAACATTCCAAAGAGGTTTTTCTTTTTTTCTTTCAAAAACAACAAATGAAAATATTTATTTAGAGACAAACTTATCAACAAAGTTACAGAAGGGTTTATTGAAACTGAGATCATGTGCCATCGAACAAAATAAAAAAAACAAACCAAATGTGATCATCATTTTAAAAGAATAAAACAATGGTTTATATGTAAAACATATAAACCACCCGACTCGATGAAACAGACAAAAACCTAAAAAATATGGATGATATACTCAGATTATTGAATGATCAGATGACAGATAAAGTTGGATACATATATGTACGACTAATTTTCTTACCCGTCACTTGATCCACTCAGACATTCTTATATCTATGCTAAAATTTCAATTTATACCAATATTATACTTCATATACGTATAATAATTTAATATACTATTATTTTCAAACAAAATAGATGTTTTATTATGATATGAAGCAATTTATTTATGATAATTTAACAAAATGCTTATAGTAATAAATAAATTATTATTAATTCATATGTTATTAATGTACAGATGACAAATGATTAGATGACGGAATAGATCCATGATGAACATAACATGTGATGAAATGGTTGTGTGTACGAGAATGAAGTTAAATTTTACCTGATTTATAAATTAAATCTAACTTGTTATTATTCTTAATTTCAAACGCAGAGAATATATCTGCATTATCAAATAAGTGTTGCTTGCAGCTTGGCGAACACTTTGTTACTCCATTAATTAAACCATGATAGGAGCAGCGTCTCACAATATCTTCCCACAAATATGCATGTTTGTTATTGTTTACTCCCTATATTCATTTGTAAATGTTTGTGATTTTTTTTAAAAAAAAATGGAGTGTGAATTAAGACGGTTTTAATATTTTTCGTATTGATTACTCGGAATTATCAAATCAATCAACCAAAGTTAAAAAAAAAGAGAAAATCAATCAAAGTTCTCATACATACAATTGGTTCATGGTCACATGTGGCACATGAATCTATGTATATGGATGATTTGTTGAGATGACAAAAATGCGAAATGGGGCCCATGCTCTATCACTCGTATCTTGTCACTCTTTGTCAGGTAGTGAGCCCATTTGGTGACACATCAGTGGCCGCCAGCAATTTGCACCAACCACACATCACTTTTCATCCCAATGAATTTCCATGAAACTCCCCAAATTCTTGAGAAAAATAAAACAAAAAAAAAGAGAGAAATGAAACGTGGACGTTTTCATACCTCGTCCGACATAATATTGTAAGATTAGAACTGGTAAATCGGTCAGGTGGGGTTCGGGTTCAGTCACTTCAAATTCGGGTTATTTCAGGTTCGGGTTGAGAACTGTATGTTCATGACCCATTATTGTCGGGTTCGAGTCGACCCAACGAGTTATGACTTTGATTTTTTAAATTTTTAAATTCACATTAACACTTACATTTTCTATTAAATAAATTTAAAATATCAAAAAAAATATTAAATCTATAAAATTATTTTATTTTAAACTCAGAATAATTTTTAGATATATAAATCAATATAAGAAATTTAAAAATGCTTAAGTTTTGGAAAAAAGTAAAATTATTATGCAATATTAGACATGTGCAA